TGTGGTAGACATTGATGTAAAATTCATACTATCACTGTTCTGTGATGACTAGAGCTTTTATTTCTCAAGATTGGGGGTGAAGAAGGTAAGGAAAAAGGAGGAAAGAGGGAAGGTAGAGAGTCAGAGAATGAATGAATGAGTCAGTCTACATGGAAGTTATTGAAATATCTCAGATTATTTGAAATATTGGCTTCCTTCCCCACCCTTCATACTTTGTACTGACACAAAGCAAAAACTACTACTGGAGTTAAGGGAAAGTAGGGCTGGCATTAAGAGGCAGATGAAAAGCAGCTTTCCATCGAGGTACAATGTGAAACCCATGGATTGTTGTCATGTGTAGTTCTGTTTTGTTTTGTGAATAACAGACTATGTTTGCTCACACTGAGGAAGTAGGTTTTTGATGTGTCACGAAAAATTCCATCCTGCAGTTCAAAATAAGATATTCAAACCAAACTTGATGATAAATGCCTATTATCTTAGTTCTTCTGGTGCACTTGAGCTACCTCAAAAGCAAACAAGCAGGGAAAACAAAGTATGATATACCTTTGGCTGCCCTAGAACTTGTTATGTAAAACAGGCTGGCTTCAAATTTATAGTGATCTCTCTGCCACTGCGCCCCAAGTCCGAGGATTAAAAGCATGTCCCACCATGCTTGCGGGGTGTTAACTTCTTAAAAACTTCTTCAAAAAGGTTTCAGAATAGACTCTGCTTTCTGACAAAAAAGAAAAAGGGAGAAGACACAAATTTATTTTGTGATTAAAAATGGAGATTAAGAGTGTGATTCACCAAATATTCCAATAAAGTACAGAATATTAATTAGAAATTACTATGAGAATTGTTAGTCTAAAGAGCTGGAAAGTCTTGAAAAAATATAATTTCTAGATGCATACCAAATTAAAGCCAGAAGATATTGCAGACCCACTATAGTCAAAGCTATAATCAAAGCTCAACGTTATAATCAAAAGCATTCTGTGAAAGAAACACCCAGGACCAGAGAAATTCATTGTTGAATTCTATCAAACTTTCAATGAAAACCTCATCCAAATTTTTTATAACTTGTTTCACAAAATAGAGAGTGAAGGAACACTACCAAATCTGTTCAGTAAGTCAGTATTCCACTGATCCAAAACCATAGAAAGACAACAACAAAAAGAAAATTACAGTCCAATTTTTTGATGAACACAGCTGGATATCACAATATCCAACCTCAAATTATACTACACTGAAGTTGGAACTCAAATGTAGACTTCAGTGTCTCCTTTTCTTGCTTTTAAACTGTATTTCTCTGTACTTTGTGTATTGCCATTTTAATATCTCTACAATTGAATCTTTTCTTTTATAAATAGTATTTAAAAGTTGTAATTTATGTGTCTGAATGTGGATTTAGGTATGTGAGTGCAATGCTTATCTAAGCTAACAGGTCATTGGATCCCCTGGAGCTAGAGTTAAACGTGGTTGTGAGCCATCTGGTGAGGGTACTGGGAACCGAACTCAAATCCTCTTTAAGAGCAGTGTATGCTCTTAACCACTGAATTATCTCTCTAGCTTTAATGTTTTCTTCATAGTTTTAAAAATTGTGTGTGTATATGTGTATACATATATATTCTTGTTAAAAAAGTATTTACTTATTTTATGTATGTTTGTGCTTTGCCTGTGTGTTTGCACATGCACTATGTACAAAACTCTTGTTATTAAGTGTCAGTAATGGGAATTGGATCTCCAGGAATTGGAGTTTTGTAACAGATAACTAGCCATCATGTATGGGTACTGGGGATCAAACCCATGTCCTCTGCAAGAGTAGCAAGGTCTCTTAATTGCTGAGCCATCTCTGTAGCCCAAATGGTGTGTATTTTTAAGAAAAACAAAGCCCTATTTAGAATATTGTTGAAAGATATTTATCTACCTGTATTCCTATTACCCTAATAAAGCAGTTTATAATGTGTATATTTTCTAATTATTTTTCCCATAAATATTTTATAATATAGTTTATGGACTTTCATAATACTTATCACTTATCCTCACTGTTACATTAATTGTCTTTAAGTTTCTAGAGTTTAGAATATTTATAATAGATGACCTTTCTGTATATATGGTTGTTTTAGTTTAGTGCTGTTTTAAATAACTGATAGATTGGGATCTTAGCTCAGTGGCACAGTGTGAGTTCTGGGTTCTAGGTTCCACCTTTAACAGCATGTGCATGCACACATCTAAATAACTTATTGTGCACTTAGTTTTGTTAGGATGGTAGATTTCCTATTGCGTATGTATGCTATGATAAGAAACACACAAAAGGTTCTTACTGTAAGAAGGCATGTATGTTGAAAGATATTGTGACAGAAGAGAAAATGTAGATTTAGGAGACAAGAAGATCATGTTTTTAAATCTGTGGTCTATTCTGGCCTTACTATTCTATACTATATTCTATACTTTCTTTGCCAGAAAATTTCATCATCCCTACTATAGAAATATAACTAACTCAAAATATGTTGCAAAGAATCTGCCTAGGTGAATTCCAAATAAATAGGTCAATGGGTCTTAGTCTGGTTAGCTTTTTCTACAATTTGTGTTATTTCTTAAAATGTTATTTCTAAAAATTGAGAAGAGTGGTTATTAGGCTAAAAGTTGTGGACATTGTTATGATAATAGTTAAAGATAATGTTACTAATTGCTTTTTAAATGACTTGCCAGTTTGCACTGTCAGCTACATTATATAAGGAGAGTTTTTAATCACACTGTCATCACTGTTGTAGTGGCATTTCATTTGTAGTTTAATAACTGAAGCTTGCCTGAGGATCAAAAAAGTAAAACAGCCACATTGGCCAGCCTTACAGATCAGGCAGCAATGGCACGCACCTTTAATCCCAGTAGCCACAATGACACGCACCTTTAATCCCAGTAGCCACAATGACACGCACCTTTAATCCCAGTAGCCACAATGACATACACCTTTAATGCCAGTAGCCACATTAGTTTGTCATAGAAACCAGGTGATAGCGATGCATGCCCTTAATCCCCAAACTAGAGAGGATAACAAAATGGGAGGAGACAGCTCTTAGTCTCAATCTTATTCTGAGATTCCAGGAGGCAGGATCACCATTTCAGCCTGAGGTAGAGATAAAAGCTAGTGGCTGGCTCTTTTGCTTTTCTGACCTTTAGGTTGAACCCCAATTTCTGTCTCTGAGTTTTTATTAATCGTGCTTCAGCTGTGAGACATTTTGATTTTAGAAGAGGTTGGAAGTCCTACTCTGTGTTGTTCACTTTCCACTCTGACACGCTGAAGGGTATGCATGCTTTCGTTTCTTTGCTTTTTCCTTTCTCACCTGGTAAGGTAAGCATCAATTACTTGCTTGCTCTAAACGTTATGTTTTTAATAGTAGAAAATGGAACTTAGTTTTAATGATTTCTTTTGTTTTATTTATACATCCATAGTCACATATTTAGGGTTTTGATTTGTTTTATTTTTCTTTGAAAATTTTAAAAATAAAGAAGTTTCAGTTGGGGAGATAGTGGTCAGTAAAGTGCTTATCACACAAACAAGTGGACTTGAGTGGAAATTCTCAGAATAGACATAAAATCCAGATATGGTATCAGGTGTCTATAGTATCAAGTACTTGAAATTCTTCATAATCATGCCACACAATGTTCACAACAGAGCAGAAAGACGGCCTATTTATAAGCAAAAACAGGAACTCTTGCAAAGATACATATTTCATTGTCTTGGATGGAGATCAAGAGCATAAAAATTTATATTAGGCTTAAAAATATTTTCTTACTCTTTCCTATTTGTGTATTTATTTTGTGTACACATGTGTTGCAGAAGGGCCGCCCGGCAAGCTTAGACTCGAAAACAATCACACTGAAACTGTATTATTTACATCACTGCTTGGCCCATTAGTTCTAGTTTCTTATTGGCTAACTCTTACATATGAATTTAACCCATTTCTATTAATCTGTGTATTGCCAGGTGGTTGTAGCTTAGTGACTAAAGTTCCCAGCATCTATCTCTGGTGGCTCTATGGTTTCTCTCACTCTGCCCTTCTTCCTTCCAGCATTCTGTTTAGTTTTCCCCTTCTAGCTAAGTTCTGCCCTGCTATAAGCACAAGGCAGTTTCTTTATTCAGTAATGGTAATCAGAGCATACAGAGGGAAATCCCACATCACACAAGTGTTCATGTTCATGTGCAGGCATGCAGGCATGCATATGTTAGTCTTTGCATTCCACCTTGCTTAATTCCGTGTCTCTGGTTTACAGCCAGGTACAGCAGGCTAACTTAACCACAACCTTCCAAGAATATTTCTGTCTCTATCTCCCATCTCACTGGAGGAGAGTATGAACTATAGATACCTGATACCATATCTGGATTTTATGTTTATTCTGAGAATTTCCACTCAAGTCCACTTGATTGTGTGATAAGCACTTTACTGACCGCCATCTCCCTAACTGAAACTTATTTATTTTTTAAATTTTCAAAGGAGGAGGGGAAAAAAGACATGATTTAACTATGGTCTGTGGTAGGCTCCAGCAAAACAAATGAAAGATGAAAGTCTTGAGCCAGGCGTGGGTGACTTCTTTAGCAGCGGGATTTATGTTAGTGAAAAGGTGTGCTGTGTCCAAACTGTCAAAAGCATCTAGCAAGAGAGAAGAGACATTTCCTTTTATTTGGATTGACTTCTGTTATGGTTTCTTTAAGTTATGGTTCTCTTAAGTTGTTCTTAGCAACTTTCTTCTGAATAATCATTGAGCCCTGCTTTTAAAACTTTGTTTTATAGTCAGATTGGATGTCTTTCTGTTGACTTTTAGTCAGATTCAGTTGTTGCTAACAACTGGGACTACTTTGGTCCTCTGATTATTTTTGAACTGAATTTAAATATAAGGAAATATGACCAACATAAAATTCTGTATATTATTTGAATGGTGTTTCTATTTTGAGTTTGTGTTTACTAGCTGAATTATACATACATACATATATATATATATATATGGAAATACATAAATGTGATCATTCAGACATGGATCTTAAACCAAAGGAAAAGCTAGGAATAGTACTGATGCTGTTATTAATAGCCACTTGGGACATTTCCATGTTGATTTATACCTAGGAGATATAGCAAATATAGTATTGCTATTCTTTGTGTGTGTGTGTGTGTGTATATATATATATAACTAAACAGGAAAGTTTAAACAGAAAGGATAAAGCTGTATTGAAGATGGGAAGCCCTCAGACGCTTTCACAGAATCAGGTGGTCATGGGACTCATTGGACTTTACCTGCTTGGGAAAGTGGAATATTTGCTCTGCTTGCTGCTGTCAGTGGTTCCATTCATTTGGATTGGTTATCTTATACAGAAAAGTTTAAACAAGCACAGTTTTACAAATTGTGAATTCAGCACTATGTTATTTGTAGGGCTAGGGATTTAACAGAAAAAAAAACACCCAATAGCTTTAAAAATTGGAGTATTCTTCAGCAACAATAATAAAAAAAACCAAACAACAAAAACAAACAGGATTTCACTGTGTAATACTGGCTGGGCTTGAACTTGTAGAGATTTGCCTGCCTCTGCTTCTAGAATGCTGGGTGTGTACCACCATATCTGACCTAAATTCTCCTTTTTATTTGGTAATGACTGATTTTCCTAACTATAGTCATGACTTTGTACTGACTCCTATGGCTTGTAATATGATTGCTTGCTTATGTAGATAAAGCTTGTGTGATTAGTCTAAGGTATAAAATAAACCTCTGTGATATGCAAACTAAATGTTACACATTTCTTTCCCTATCATAGATTGGGTGTGATCGTAGCCAGAACCTTTTGGACATTTGTAGAGAGAGGGAGTTTCAGGCCTTAGTCTGTGATGCACTGTCTATTCCATTCCGAAGTGGATCTTTTGATGCTTGCATCTCCATTGCTGTCATTCATCATTTTTCAACTGCGGTGAGTATAGCTTTTCTTTCTGTAAAACTTGTAATTAAGGTGACAGAGAAAGATTGTATGTGTGTGAGTCAAAATAAACTATTTCTTAATTTTTTCTTTTATTTTCCTATTATTTTTGTCAAGGTCTCAACATGAAGTAGCCTCCAAAAATAAATTAGAAAGGCTCATGTATTAAAGTCTTGGCCCCAAGCTGGGGTGACTCTATTGGAAGGTGATTGGGTGCTAACTCCACCAATGTGTTAATTCATTGAATCCTTTATGCTGTATAGACTCTGAGGAAGTGGGGTCTGATTTGAAGTAAGGAACTTTGAATGGCATATTTCTTCATGGTCCCCTCCCAATTTCTTCTGCTACCTGGCTGCCATCAGGTGAGCATCTTTGTCAGGATGCTGTCTTCTCTGAAGAGCCCATCATAGCCTTAGGAACAAGAAGCCAAATGGCCATGGACTGAAACCTGAAAGTCTATGAAGTAAAATACATCTCCATTTTATATTGCTTTTCTCAGGCATTTTACCACAATTGCAAAAACTGATAACAGTTTTCTTTGATTGCTTATCTCACCAACGTTATGTAGTGTTTTCTCTTCCCTTACCTTTCTGTTTATATACTCTTTAGTTATTTTTAATGGTTATCGTGGTACCCAAAATCTACCCATGACATTAGGCTACCTTGAGTTGTTATGCTTAGCCCTTCTAGCAATGTAAGACATCAGAATAACACTTAGCACCTCTGATTTCCACTGTGTTATTGTATAAATTTTGTTGTTTTAAGCGCATGATATTTATTTGTACTTTTCAAGATTTACTCTTTCTAGTCTTCCTTCTTTAAAGCACTTTTAAAGGTTTCTGAAAGACTAGCTTTCTTTTACTTGAAGAATTTTCTTTGTTATTTTTATTTAAGTATTTATTTATTTAGGTATTAAGTGTTTAAATATTGGCAGCATATCTTTTTTGTGTCATTTAAACTCTTTATTTTAAAAGTATTATTTTGACTATATTTTGAATTCTGAATTGATAATATATTTTATATTTTGTTACCCTCTTTTAAATTTCTGCTTCATTTTTGGTAATTTATGCTGATTTGAATTCTAGCTTAATTATCTGTGAAGATATATGTAATTTACCATTAAAATTCTTGTGTTTTGTATTAGTCTGGAATTTATTTTATGTCTTCATTGATTTTTTTTCTAGTTTTATGAACATATTAGCTTAGTTATTTTAAAGTCTTTGAGGTTTTATTTACTCATTTTTAAGATGGAAAATAAATCTTTTTCTTGTTTATTTTTTACTGAACACATGTTAATAGTTGTTTTACCATATTTATAGTCTAGATCATTGCAAAGTAATTAATGGTGATATGTAAAATTTTTAAATTTATTTACTTTAGAGTGTGTGTGTGTGTGTGTGTATTGATGTCAGTTGCCAAAGTGTACATTTGTAGGTCAGAGAACAACTTTAAGAGTGAATTCTCTCCTTCCAGAGGTGAATTCAGGTCATTGGGTGGTAGCAAGAGCTTTTACTGTGCCATCTCCCTAGCTTAATTCCTAATTAATTAATACTTAATTAATTCATAATGCTTAATTCTTAATTACATTGGATATAGAATAAATGATGTAGGAGGGTCGTCTGTCTATGTGTTACTTTCACTGGTTAATAAGGAAACTGCCTTGGTTTTTGATAGGACAACAGCTTAGATAGGCGGAGTAGACAGAACAGAATTCTGGGAGGAAGAAGGCAGTCAGGCAGATGCCATGGCTCTCCTCTTCCGAGATGGACGTGGGTCAGAAACTTCCTGTTAAGCGATGACCTCTTGGTGATATACAGATTATCAGAAATGGGTTAATTAAGGTGTGAGAGTTAGCCAAGAAGAGGCTAGATATAATGGGCCAGGCACTGTTTAATACAGTTTCCGTGTAATTATTTCGGGTAAAGCTAGCTGGGAGCCAAGTGGCGGGGATGCAGCCCACCGTTCCATCTACAAATAAATGTATTTTTCTATGGCTTAATAGTCAGTATATTACAGAAAATAGAGGTCAATAACTACAAAACATTAGGATGAAAACAGTTGTGTAAACCCAGCCTTATTTCCTAGTAGTACATCACTTGGTATATATATATATATATATATATATATACACACACACACACACACACATATATATATATATATATACATATATATGCTACTATAGAAAGTAGCAAATCAACTGGAAGAAATGTGAGAAACTTAAAACAAAAATTGATAAGACCAGTAATAATATACATGTTAAATATGTTATTTTGGTTTTAATCTATGTAAAAACTAAAATGTTGTAGGAGACTGCTTGTTTGTTCCCAGCTGCCCAGACCATGAAATAATCACGCAGAAACTCTATTATTTAAATCATTGCTTGGCCAATCACTTAAGCATATTGCTAGCTAGCACTTCTATCTTGGGTTAACCCATTTCTATTAATCTGTGTATCGCCCCGTGACTGTAGCCTACCAGCAAGGTCCTGGCTTGTCTGTCCCTGACTGTAGGCTTCTCTCTGACTCCACCTTCTTTCTTCCAGCATTCAGTTTAGTTTTCCCCACCTAGCTCTACTCTGCCCTATCTCAGGCCAAGGCTTACCTATAAAAGCAGCACATCTACAGAAGGGCCTCCCACACCACTGAAATACCTGAGTGATGGAATGATGTGGAGCTTAGTCACGGAACTTGAATTCTCTCAAATTTTGTAGAAGTTGCCTTTTTGAAACACTGCATGGTCTTAGAAAGTTGTGATATATAATTTTACATCTTTTATAAAAGGATAGATAATAGTGAACAGAGTATCTCTGGAGAGACAGAGGCCATACCTTGTGGTTAATAGGTGGCAAAAAAGTGTCTAAACCTAATGGAAATAATAATAGATATCTCCTTTTATGTCTGTAAAAACTGAGGGTCAAGTTTCTGAGAATACATAAGCAGTTGAAAACAGACCTTCACAGCCAGTCTTTCTGAAGTGAAAACTATTTTGCTACTTCCTTGTCTTTCTGGAAGTGATAGTTACAAAGAATCCAAATAACTGTGAAAAACATACTCCAGAATTTAAAAAGTGAAAGTTCTGTTCATTTTCCTACTGAAAAAGTGAAAGAATTTCATTAAATCAAGCTCTCTCTCCGCCCTCCTTCTCCTCCTTCTTCCTCTCCTCCTCCTCCTCCTCCTCCTCCTCCTCCTCCTCCTCCTTCCTCTGCTTCTTTTTCTTCTGTCCTTCCCGCTCCCTCTTTCTCTCCCTCCCTTCCCCACCAGCAGTAGTGATACACCCTTTCTTTTATATATACTAAATTATTCTTGGGGCTAGAGAGGTGACTCGTACTTCAGAGCACTTTCTGTGCTAGCATGAAGGCCAGAGTTCAGACCCTAGCACCCACATGAAAACTGGGCATGCTCCTCACATGCACACCTGTAACGCCAGTGCTGAGACTGACAGAGATAGGAAGATTTCTGGCATTACTGGCAGGTAGTCTAGCAGGCAATCTAGCTCATTCTAGATTCAAGGAACCCTTTGTCTAAAGGGAGTAAGGTGTAAAGTGGTAAAGGTGGACACCTTGGTGCCTTCTTCTGGCTTGGGGGTTTATTTTTCTAGTCTGTCTTTGCCTCTGGTTTTTGGGCTTTGGTCATGATTGCTTTGAATATTCATCAAGATTATTATTATAGTTATTATTATTATTGTTATTTGATGCAAAAACCCACAAAGTATGGTTAATAATTTATTAAGGGTACAATGGAAAAACAGACTCATGAATACAGAATGACTTAGACACAGCTGCTGATTCAGCTGCCATTGTCCTACTGTTCTGCCTAAGGGTGATGAGGACCAACTGCAAGGCTTGCTCCTGCTCCAACCACCCAAGAGAGAGAGTGTACATCCCCTCCTCAGTTTTGTTTGGTCACTTATCCTGAGAAAACGATGCCCATAGGCCTAGTTATGCAAACATCAGTTGTTATTATTATTAATATATGCTTATAATTAATTATATTAATAATATATAAATTATTATTATTATAACTTCTGGACAGTTTATATTAAATGGTATAGATTCTTATGTCTGTTTCCAGAGAGCAGTAAATTAAGATCAAAAAGTACATATAAACTGATCAGTTTAATTCTTTAGTGATTGGCTTTCTGCTCTATTGTGACCAGTTTATAGTTACTTCTTTCTGTTTCTCCCTTTAGTTTCAAGTTAAACTTGCCATTGTACTTCGAAGACCCTAAGATCTTGTCTGGAGATGTTCTGTCTCCAACATTGTATGATTGCTAAAACCTTTGCTTTGCTTTCTAACTTCCCAGCTGCTCTTCTGCTGATTTCCTTGGAATTCCGCCCTGTGCTCATGCAGCATGGGTCTCAAAGATACCGTTAGAGGACTTTGCATGTAGCCTTTGGAGGCATTTCCCTGCAGTTCCTCCTTTATCTGTGATTCTGTTCCCTGCGTTCCAGGACTTCCCTGTACTCAGAACCTGGTGTTCTCAGGCCAGGGAATCTTTTGTTTCCATCTTATAATCTATTTCCCACACTGTGAATTAAATTCATTCAGGTCTAGTCTGCAGACTTGCTTACCAGTGCCTTAGCCAGATGTTTTATGTCCAGTTTGAGATACCTACACATAGTCCTACATTTAATTATAATTTTCCACATCCTTTTTCTATCTCCTCTGGATTGATAAATAATAATCATTTCATTTTAAATTTTTTTTTTTTTTAGGAACGTAGAGTGGCAGCTCTCCAAGAACTTGTCCGTCTCCTGAGACCTGGTGGTCAGGCCCTCATATATGTCTGGGCAATGGAACAAGAATATAAAAATCACAAATCCAAGTACCTTAGAGGAAGCAAAACTTGCCTACAAGATAAACAGGAGATAAACAATGTCATAGTCACTGAAGGATTGCTAGTAAATCAAATGTCTGATGAAGGTAGTGAAGACCTAGCATCTTCTGTCCCCTCCACTGATAATATCAAGGAAAAAGGATTCAAGCCAAGGAAAGTTCAAAATTCTGAGCTTCCTGTTCATACAAACCGGACTTCTTTTCATTCCCAAGATGTGCTGGTTCCATGGCACCTCAAGAGAAATCCTGGTAAAGAGAAAGCTGCTGAGCCCTTTGGCTTAGCAGGATACCCTGATCCATGTCCTGTGTTTCATCGTTATTACCATGTTTTCTGTAATGGAGAATTGGAGGCTTCCTGCCAGGCTCTGGGTGATGTTAGCATTCTGCAGAGCTACTATGATGAGGGGAACTGGTGTGTTGTTCTTCAAAAGGTCTGATCTGAACATATCAGGTGTAAAGAAAAAATGCCTATCTGCTTCTTCAAAGGAGGCTAAATTATCCCTTTAACTAATGAGGAAGCTTTGGGAGATATTACCAAAGGAAAACTGAGAGCAGAGATTATAGAGGTAACATTCTATCTGCGATTTTTGGCTGACTTCATAAACATACGTTCCTCTTACATGCCTTCTAAGTATGATGTTGAAAAATGATTGGCATTAACTTGTGAAAGGTCTGTGATCTTTGTGTAGGTGTACAGCATTTTGAAGCTAAACTTTTCTTATAAAGTGTTTATAAAGATCCTAAACTATGTAGGATCAAAGTGAAGCACTTATGTAACGTTTTAATGACTTGATGACTCCTGGACAACAGGACACTCTCTGAAGTGTTATCTACAACTGATTGTTCCCAAGAAAATCATAGTACACTGTGGATGCCCAGTAAAACTTTAGCCACATATTTCTCAGAATTAATAGAAACTTCATTCAACAGATATTCATTAAACTCCTACCATTTACTATTAAGTACTAGGAATGAAGCTGTAAGCAAGTAAAGGAGGTTGGGGTGTGGCTCGGTGAAAGAGCAGGTGTTTCTAATTGAAGCCCTGGATTTAATACCCATCACCACAAACAAACATAGCAGCAGAAAACAAGAGCAAAGTCCTTCTTTCTAGGAAGCTTACTTTCTAGAAGGTGAGGCTGACAAAAGCAAACAAATAAGTAAATATTATGTTCCTGGTAATCATAAATGACACGTAAAAAAGTAAATTGGAGGCTGAAAGGGATATTAATCTATGAGCAAAAGATTGCTTTTTAATGGCTGAAGTAACTGCCAATCCTGAATGATGAATTGCCAGGAACTACTATTCTTGATCTATTGGTTTAAGTTCTAAAGAAAACTCAAATAGTTCCCTTTAACAGTTAAATTGCAAACGTTAAAATGTTATCAGCCATACCAAACTTTGCTCTTTCAGTCACAATTGACTTTTTTTCTTATTCATCATTTGTCCCAATCTAGGAAGAATGGAGGCATTTTTATCTAGTCAGTGAAACCAAAAGCATGATCTTGGAAAGTACTAAAATTGATCAACATCTAGCCAGACTGAATTGACCAGGAAAAAACTTTTATGATTTTTGTAATTGACTCAATCAAAAAACATAATTAAAAGCAACATAATTAAAGCAAAAAACATAATTAAAAGCTTTAAGACCATAACTTGATTTAAAACATTATAATTAACAAATTAAAAATTATAGTAAGACACTCTTAAATGAGACTTCTATTTGAATACACAATTTTCTTTTTCTTTTCTATTTATGAGAGAGAATCTCATGTAGTCCAGTCTGGTCTCAATCTAAGTACCCAGTTCTCTGCTTTCACCTCTCCAGACCTGGTGTAACAACAGACCTGATAACACAACAGCCTAAGAATAGTTTGATATTATTTATATTGAAAAAAATTAAGATATTATTTATATATTAAAACAGTGGTTCTCAACCTGTGGGACAGGACCCCGGGTAGCCAAACCACACTTTCACAGGAGTTGCATAAAACCATTAGAGTTGGGGGGGGAAGTAAAAAAAAAAACATTAGAGTTATATATTTATATTAGTATTCATAACAGTAGCAAGATTACAGGTATGAAGTAGTAATAAAAATAAGTTTATAATTTATTTTTATATATATTCCTACAACAGGAAGGATGGTATTAAATAATCAAAGCATTGGAAAGGATAAGAATCACTCCATTAAAGGAACATATGGCCCAGTAAGATACTTAGTTGATAAAGGCATTTGCCACCAAGCCTAATACCCTGAGTTCAGTCCCCAGTAACCACTTGGTAGAAGGTGAAAACTGACTCCAACAAGTTGTCCTCTGACCTTTGTACTTACACATACACACACACACACACACACTAAAAATATTTATTTAGTGGATCTACTGGATCTCACTTTATAGTTACAACTTTCCTGGAACTAGCTAAAATGATCAGGCTGGTCTCAAATACATTTCTGCCAAGTGATGGAATGAATTAAAGGCGTGTGCCACCACATTTGGCTAAATACATTTTAAAGAAAGATATAAAGCTGTGGTGATGTCCCATGTCTTAGTCTCAACACTTAAGAGGCAGAGGCAGGAGGATTGCTTTAAGTTTGAGATCATTGTGGTCCACAGAGCAAGTTCCAGGATAGCAAGGGCTAAACAGAGAAACCCTGTCTCAAAGGAAAAGAAAAGAAGAAAAAAGAAAAGAAAAAGCAAAGTTAGCTGGTCCTAAATCAAAGTTTGAATATGTTGTTTGTGATCTTAAGTTTCCAAGTAAACAAGTTAGCCATGTTGATTGACCATAAGAAGAACATTTCTTAAAATATATATTGGCTCTTTAGGCTAATTTGAATATTTATTTATTTTTGGATAATTTAGAAAGAAGCTTAAAGGTAGGCATAGGGTCATACCTATAGTATTAGCTGCTCAGAAGTCTGAACCCCAGAGGTCAAAACTGGTTAGGGTTACTTAGTGAGACCCCCGTCTAAAAGTAAAATAAGAGAAATTTCTTCCTTGTGTCATTTCCACCATTTCTTCTCCTTTGAAATGGCATCCTTGGGTCTCAGTCATGAGTATAGTTAACAAGTAAGTTCATTGTCCCTGCAGTACCTGATCTCAACTTACTGCATGTTTTCTCTCCATAGAATTAAGAAGTGTTTGTAGGTGTTTTGTTACTTCCCATTTCCAGCAGCTTCAGGCTGTCTACCCCCACTGTTGGGATTGGCGTTTCCTTGAGACTAAAGAACTGCCATTGTGACATCTTGGTGGCCTTCTCCTAAAGTCTTTAGTAGATAACTTTTAATTTCTTCATAAAACAATTGTTATAAGCTAAGAGAAAATATGAACTCTAGCTGACAATTAGGATTTTTCAATTATGACTATAATTCTGAAAAATTATTTATCTTTAGTTAATGAAGGAAATGATCTCCAGTTTTATTAGAATATTAAGAAACTGTGATGTATTGTGTCTCATAAGTCACTCTTTTATTGTATACCAGCTTTTGAATGAAAGTATCTAGTGGATGAGAGGAGCAATAATTTGATTAGAAATATTGACTGTCTGCCTATCATTTTAAAATTTTATTATTTTGGATATAACCAGTTCAAATTAGAACCCTGTGAATTAAAAGGCTAAGAAATAATAATGGGACTATGTCAATTTGATTCATGTTTTTCATACTTGAAGAATTTTAGCGAAAAATTTGAAGATATAAATTGTTATAGTCTTATGGGGGCTGTGAACATGCATTGCTTTTTTAGCTTCTGACTTCCTACACACCATTGTGGCTATGTCTGACTTGAAATAAATTTGTCTTGTGTGCTGTGTCAGCATCATGACCTGAGCAACTAATGGTTTCTCTTTCATTCCAGTTTGCAGATGGCTCTTGTTCAAGTACCCACCCTATCATGTGAACCAATCTAACAAATACACATTTTATAATAAATATACATTCTGTTGGTTAAATTTTTCTAGAGAGCCCCATCTAATACACCAATAAAACAGTGTAATAAGTACATACATAGCATATTTATATTGTGTTAAGTATTAGAGGTAAACTAAAGATCATTTAAAGTCATGGGAATATGTGTGCTAGATACATTTAAATTTTACTTTATATAATGGATTTGAGTTTCTTTGGATTTTGACCTCATCCAGAGGTCCTGGAACTAACTCCCCTGACCCCCCCCCCCACCCACATGCAGATACTAAGAGTTGCTTCTAGTTGGAAATAAGGTCAGAGACAATATAACATATGCCAAAACATTCCTGGCTATCATTCTGAGATTGCAAGCTCTTTGAAACAAGTGACATCCTGAGTTCTACTTTGAATGGAAATTCTGGCTGCTGTGTGAAGATTTCACAGTAAAGCTATTAGAGTGGAAGTAGAAGGGTCAGTCAGGAAGCTTTTAATACAATCCCAGTGAGAAGTCATTATTGGTTTGCTATAGTCAATGTGTTCGCATTGTACATTGGAGAACAGTAAGCTTTGGGTTGTAGATTTGAACTCTGTGAGTATCTTCTAATTTTTAGCAATGTATCCTGTAAATAATAACTCATTCTTTTGCTACTGTTGTTGGAGCTATAACTGTTGGCTTAAATAGAGAATCAAAGAATGTGAATTTGAAACAAGAAAATAAATTAATGTAGCAGTAGAAAAGATAATTGAGACTCTGTTCTATTTTAACATTCACTTTAAACTAGACACAGAGCCTTGGATGGTGTAGTGTTTGTTCCTCTCTTTGCAGAATGTTACATATGTGAGTGCAGATTTCCTTAAGTGAAAAATCTGTGTGCCAACAGTTACACAACAACTTTCTTTATACATTGCTTAGGTCACCATTATAGTGCTGTGAAGAGATATTATGACCCAGGCAATTCTCCTAAAAGAAGATATTTAATTGGAAGCTGCACACAGTTTTAAAGCATTAGTCCAGTGGGGAGATGGCTCAGTGGTTAAGAACACTGGCTGCTCTTCCAGAGGTCCTGAGTTCAATTCCCAGCAACCACAAGGTGGCTCACAACCATGTATAGTGGAATCTGATGCCCTCTTCTTCTGGAATAAAGGTATACATGTAGATAGAACACTCAAAGCGTTAGTCCATTATTTTTTTTGAAAGTAATTTTATTAAATTATAAAAGTTTCCATTTACGCCCCTCTTCCCAACACCCTCCCACTCCCCCCCTCCCTCTCCTCCTCCCTCTTTGTCCCTAAGGGCAGTCAGGATTTCCTGCCCTGTGGGAAGTTCAAGTTCCTCCCCCCTCCCTCCAGGTCCAGGAAGGTGAGTATCCAAACAGACTGGATCCCAAAAATCCAGTATATGCAGAGGAAACTAGTCCCAGTGTCATTGTCAATGGCTTCTCAGAAAGACTCCAGGCCAGCCACATTCAGAGAATCCGGCCACATTCAGAGAATCTGGTTGGATCACGTGCTCGTTCAGTCGCAGTCCAACTGGCCTTGGTAAACTCTCATTAGATCTGACCCCTTGTATCAGTGGGTGATAGCATCCCTCGCAGTCCTTCGTCATTTTCTTCGTCCTTCTGCTCCTCATTTGGATCTTGGGGGGCTCAGTCCGGTGCTCCAATGTGGGTCTCCGTTAGTCCATTATTTTTGAAAGGAAATACGGTATAATGCTTGGCACTGCAGTACTAGCTGAGTGCTACATCATGATCTGCAGACAGAGACTAGGCTGTAGCACAAATAATGAAAACCCAGAGACAGATGTCCAAACTGGACATCAGAAAAGCAAAGGAGTCAAGCCACTAGAGGGCTCTTACCTCTACCAAGGCTCAGTTAGGCAAAGGTGTGATCCTATCTTCAGTGTGACTGCAGACTGCAATGATCGCCACCAAATCTCAAACTGCAATGAGCTCTTGTATCCTCCTGCCATATATACCCCTTTCCCCCAGCCATATCACTCCTGTCTCCACCTCCCTAGTGCTGGGATTAAAGGTGTCTGACTCCTGAGTACTGGGAGTACCTTCCTGTAAATTCTATTTCTCTTTTTAGATAGATTCAATCTCGTGATGCCAAGGGTGTCTTGAGTCCGGGGATTAAAGGTGTGTGCTACCACTCCTTGGCCTCTAGTAGCTTAGTTTTGCACTCTGATTTTCAGGCAAGCTGTATTTATTAAAACACAAATAAAATACCACTGCAGTAGGCCTGACATTGACTTCTGAAGCTTCAAAGACCATGCCCAGGAATATACTTCCTAAAGCAAGGCCAACCCAATTCCAATAGGGCCATTTCTCCTAATTCTTAAGTCCTTTCAAACAGCTCCTTTCCCTGATGACTAAGCATTCAAATATATGAGGTTATGGGGGGCATTTTTAATAGAAAAAATCATTTATGTAGTTTTTATCTACAGAACATAACTTATTTAGAACAAGAAAATTTATAAATAACAGTATTGCTTATTTTGTCAAACACTTCTTCAAGCAAGGCAGTATATATGGTTGCTTGCCTTTTGAATAATATGGTAGTAAACAGTGGGTATTAATATTTTATGTGTGTCTTAATCATTTATTCACAATAAGTCTTTTAAATCATGATTGGCCACCTGCTAAGATGTGAATAATATGGTAGTAAACAGTGGGTATTAATATTTTATGTGTGTCTTAATCATTTATTCACAATAAGTCTTTTAAATCATGATTGGCCACCTGCTAAGATGTAAGTGATCCAGAGGAAGAAAAAAATTCAAGAAAACATAAAAACCTTTCTGAAGATTTTGTTTTGTTTTGTTTTTCGAGACAGGGTTTCTCTGAAGTTTTGGAGATTATCCTGGAACTAGCTCTTGTAGACCAGCCTGGCTTCAAACTCACAGAGATCCACCTGCCTCTGCCTCACGAGTGCTTGGATTAAAGGCATGCGCCACCACCGCCCAGCCTCCCTGGAGATCTATAAAAACAAATTCTTTGTAACATCTTTACATCTCATAGATCTTTCCACTTAATAAGCCAAGTACACTAATTATGTTTTTTTCCCAACATTTGTCTTGAGGCTAGCACAGTATGATGGTTTATTGATTGACTTGATTCTATACACAATGAATACTCTTACATTCTTTCTACAATAATTACAACTTCCATAATAATTTTTATTACAGACAAGAGAAAAAGCTTAAAATGAAATAAATATAGAAAGACAAATAGCAGTTTAGTCACAATAATTTAACCAAAGTATCATTAAGAAAAATATTTTTTTAGAACATGAATGTTGTAAAAATTTTCAAAAACAGCATTGAAATAACAATGTGAATTACCCCATGATTTGGTGACTTTAATCACATGAAATAAATGCATACTTGTGAGAATTTTCAACTAATTTTTTGATCTTCTTTTATAATAAAGATGTTAAACCATAAATTTTACTCTAAGCCACAGAATGAAAAATGTGCTTATAGCATTTAGTGAATTAACATCACTCTTGGAGTCACGGAGTTCTATCTTTTGTTTAGGAACTTGAAAAACGGTTACCATTTTAACCAATAATACAAAAATGAAAAATACCTAGATATAAAAAAGGTTTTCCAATTGAAATATTGATTATTTCATAATATATTCAACTTAGTTTTATAATATTAGGCACATTTTACAGGTTCTGTGACAAATAACTCACAAATACAGAACCTTCAGATAAGAAAAACTATTGTCCAGGCCTGGGAAAACTCAGTTGAGAGAGTGCTTGCCTAGCCTTCAGAAAATTATGGATGGGTTTTACTCCCAGCACAGCATAAAATGGACATGGCATTAGACTTTGTAATTCCTGAACTTGGGAGAGGAGCACAGCATAAAATGGACATGGCATTAGACTTTGTAATTCCAGAACTTGGGAGAGGAGACTAGATAGAAGATCACAATTGGAAGAACATCCTCATCTTCATATATAATTCAAGACCAGGCAAGGATACATGAAACCCTATCTTATGGGAAAATAAACACACTACAGTTTAATGTGTATGATTTAAGTAAAAGCTCAATCAACCTCACTGTTTCACTCAGCACCGTCAAATGGCTCACATAAACCAGCAGAGCTGAGCAGCTGCCACAAAGACTACCCAGTCTATAATTTCAAAAGTAATTTATGGGAAAATATTCTGACTACTGAGCTAATATATCAATCTGTGAGGTTCAAATTAAATAAATTTGTTCTTTGAGAAGTTTAATTTGAACCAGGAAAAATCTGTTAAGAGAAATAAGACATTTGTATAAATCACCAAATCTCAAAATCAACAACAAGCTCATAATGATGACAATAACTTATTCAAGCCACGACAATATGCTTAAGAAGTAGACTGGCACAGTTTCCTTTAACTACACAAAGTTCAAATATTATTCGAGACACTATCACTTTAATTGGCCTATGCTAATTTATGCTAATTGGCAGATTTACTATCGGAACACAAATATATTTTCTTCAGACTTCCAAATTGTGAAATTGTATCTTATTTAAAAGACCAAGACTTTTCAGGTAGAAGTAAGAGGTCCTTTTCTAACTTGGAAAAAGTTTCTTTCTTAGGTGTCCTTAGAACATTGTCCTTGTCAACAAAATGCCAACCCAGTCTCTTGGGAAAAATTTGGCATGAAATGCCTCCACTAAATGAATTCTTTTAAAGTACATTTGAATGAGAAATACTACAAGTGAGAAATAACACACCTGTTTTATCTAAGAAGGGGGAGCTTTGAGTTCGCACAGCAGACATTTGGCCATCCCACTACTGCTCAGGAAAACAACAGATCCAACTTTAGAGTTTAACTCTCACAATTACAGAGACAATGTTCTTGTGTTTAGGAATGTTATCTCTACTGACCAAAAATCCCTCTACTTATTTTTAATTATTT